AACTGTAATATACACACACACATACATATATACATATATATTCGATGACGAGGAACCCACTTTGAGACTAATAATGGCTGGAGACGGCTTGAATGGGTAATAAAGAAAAACTTCAATATAAGTTTAACATAACAGCAAATGTACAACATTTCGACAAGGTTTTGTCATCATCACGTACATTTGCTGTTATGTTAAACTTACATTAAAGTTTTTCTTCATTACCCATTTAAGCCGTCTTCAGCCATTATTATACATATATATATAAATAGCTTACAAACTATTGATTATCTTAATTGTTAATAGGTGATTAAATCAGCACTATAAGCAATAATGAATTAAATATCACAATACTGTTATCAGTCCTGGTTGTCAACTTATTGTCATAATGGATAATGTCTGTGGTAATAGCATTCAAATGCATTGGGGATATCCCATCTATCAACTGCCTTTCACTGTCTATAGCCAGTTGTGGGAAGGCAGTTACTCTTAAACTTCTTAAAGTAGAAGTGAATTGAAATAAAGCAGCCCTAATATTTCTACTAATTAAACTCCCAACCTCCATCCTTTCAGAAAGATATTAAGTAGAACCATAAAATATTGAATAGAACTAAATAGAACTTTTAGATATTGAATAAAACTAAATAAAACTATAACATTTTAAATAAAACTATACACCCTACCTTAAAAGTTTTATATAGTTCTAACTCCCAACCTTCTCCCTTTCTCTTGAAGATTTATTCAAATATAACATGGGAATGCTGAAACAAGCCCAGCTACTTGAAGTTAGTCTTTCCATCTCGGTTATACTGAATAAAATTACTAGAAAAATTATTATTAACTACTTATAAGCTAAAGTAACTAACTCCCTCATTATTTTATTTAGAAGATATTTTCCTGGATCAGTAGTTTAGTTTCTAAAATATTTTTGTATTTATTAAGAAATATATAAGGTATTTCTTTAATTGCCTGTCTTTATAGCCATTATCTTTTAATTTATTTTTAATAATAAAAAATTATCCATAAAAAAATTATAGTTATTACAGACTGTTAAGAACCGTTTTAGTTGTGATATAATAATACCTTTTTAACATGATACTCGGAATAACACTGTTAGGTGTGGGTAGACAAACGACACTACCTTCTATAAAAGTAATGTCCAAATCTAAATAATTAGCATGGACCTCATTATTATTATTACTTATTTCTATTGTAAGTTCTGTTGGATATATTAGGTTTGATGTAAAATTCATATTATTTATAGATATTAAATCATCTATCTAACAAAAAGTGTAAATGTATAAGTTAGGATTTAAAGTCTGCTTCATAAATGAGTCTTCATAAAAGAACAGATACAGGTTGGCCATATTTGAAGAAAAGTTCTTTCCCTTTGGAATACCCAATGTTTGCTTATATACTTGTTTGTTAAAAACAATATAACTGTTATAAATACAGAAATGGAGTATGTTTTTACATTGAATTCTAGTAAATTTAAATTTGGGTAGAGTTCTATTTAGTTTTATTTAATATTTTATAGTTCTGTTTAGTTGTATTCAATATTTTATACTTCTATTTAATATATTTTTGTAAGGGTGGAGGTTGGGAGTTTAATTAGTAGGAATATTAAGGTGGCTTTATTTCAATTCATTTCTATTTTAAGAAATGTAAGGGTAACTGCCTTCCCACAACTGGCTATATAATTTGAAATTTAATTTAAAGTTTACTTAAACATTTAAATAATGTAACGAAAGGAGGAATGAATTCAAGATTTATTTTTATTTATTTATTTTATGCAACAAAAAAGTTGTTCTTCAGCCAACAATAACCCAGACTCCTCACTTTTTTCAACCCATTACCCAAATGCTCTGCCAGGTATTGATAAAGTGAAAAGTGTTAGAATGTTGTTTTATCCAAACATTTAAAAATCAAGTAAATGTTGTCTGAAAAGTAACTTTAATTTTATGAAAATGCTTTTATTGAGTAGTGAAATCAACATTTAATCTTGAGTTCATGTGGCTTTTTGTTACAAGTACACACACAGACACATTATCTTTCACAATAACACTAGCTTGGAACAATATCACACACAAATAAAGGTAATCAGTTTTATCTTGTTATACCACATGCATCAGATGAAGGTTTTCTTGACCATTCATTGATGAAAGCTTCTTATAATTATTGAAGTTATGTTTATTTTTGAAAATTTTTTTAAACTTGTTTCTGAAAATTGACCATAGAGACTTGATAAAAGTGAAATCTGATGACTTTGGTGGCCAAGTTACTTACCTAAACTATTCCTTGTGTTATTTTAACCAACCTTCAACAATTACAGCAGTATGAATTGGTTCATTGTTTTTCTGAAACGGACCAACTCTATTTGAGAATAAAGTGTTCACCAGTGGATGAATTTGCTTTGCAATAGCATTTAAGTAATTACTTGCATTACCTTTTTTATTCAGTGGGATAATAACTCTTTCAACAAAAATATGTCCAATACTATCACAGAGCCTCTGCCATGCTTAAGTGATGGCATAAGACATTCAGGGTTGTAAGCTTCTTTTGGTTCTCACCAAATATGAACATGACCAAAGGAAGAGTATGAAAGATGATCTAATTTTGAATTTTGGGCCTACCATGGTGCAGTTCCCTTCATGTTGTTCTGACAGAGATTGGTTGCTGTAGGCTAATCTTAAGTTGTTCTCACACTTTTCACACTATAGTCATTTGTTTTTATGTCAAAATTCATGTTAATACTCATTTATCATGATCTATGAATATAGTTTTTCAACCACCATTATGCTTTTCTTGTGTAGTTTTATTTTTGATATCCTTGCTGACATCACTTTGACATTTTTCTTTGGGACACATTCTTTATTTTATGTTTTCTTGTCACTGATAATGCAACTAGCCATTCACTTAGAATCATGCCTTTTTGAAAATCAGACTGACCTTTTTAAAGTAACTTGAAATTTTAGAAGCTTTCTATGAAAAATCAGTAATATACTAACCTCCACTAACAGTCACTACTCATACCTGGCCAGTTTTTTTACTTCCCTTGACCAATTACCCTTGTACCTGGCCTATGGGCACCACATTTACTGTAATTCAGTCAAAAATTTTATGTTAAACAACTGCATAGTTTTGAATTTTCTTGAGGAATTTGCTGAAATTTAGATTATAGTTTCGTAACAAAAATAGCTAGACATGCACAATCCACTAAGCATTAAAGAGTGGATGTGTGCTTACAGTAAGGTTGTGGTGATTGGATATTAATAGTTTTATAGTTAGTAGCCTATATAATCACCCAAGATATTTATTAATTAGTAACTAATTTTTATTAATATAACTAGATACTAATTAGATTTATCCAATGTTACTAATTAAAAATTACTTAGGTTGATTGTATAGACTACTAATCGTAATAACTGTTTCAAGAATGGGATACCATATGATTTCCAGATTTCTCAGAAGCAGTTTCCTGTTTCACACATCTAACATGTATTTTACCACTCTTAATGAACTTACAGTATTCAGGCAAGAATATCTGTATTCTAACAACATTTGTACCATGTAATATACACAGTAGGGAGGATGAATTGTTCAGTTGTAAATTTTCAGAACTGGTAGAGTTAGAGAAGAACATCCCAATACATGAAACTATTGTTATTAACTGGGACCTGCCACCAATAGAACTATTACGAAAATGAGGACAAACAAGTGTGCTGAAATAATAATGTTTATATTTATATAGAACATCTTAAGGTGTTTGCTTGTATGAAGGTGAATTCCAAGTTTTAATGATGTAATGAAAATGATGTGTATTGATGGAACCTTTCTGCAAGTTGAAGAAACTGCAACCAGACAAAAATCATTACCTTTTTCAAGTGAAGTAATTAGTGGAAATATATTCAAAACAGTAATACGATGTATTGTAATGTGTTTAATACTGATAAAAGTGTGAAAATAGAAGAAAAACTTCTGTCCTATTTGCTTGGAAAAATAATAATAAACACTTAATTCTTTTCTTTTTTGTTTACTTCTCCTTGCCTTTGAAATATTTTACTAGACCTGTACTTTTTTTTTCTATCTTAGTTAACAGTAACTGCTACAGAATAATCTAATGCACAATTATGATATGACTACATATTCTGATATTAGACACACAAAATCTTGGAGTTACATAGATGAGGTGTTTCCATTATTTTTTTAACCCCAGTATATACAAAGAGTTAAGTGTATTAAATTAAACAATTTTGAAAGTGCAAATAGTAAGTTACTTGACAACCACAGTCAATATAAAATCATGGTGGAATGGCATGTATCAAAATTACATTTTGGCATTGACACTTCATAGGTAGTGTGATGCCACGAAATATTTATTGATTTTGGAGTGGGGTACGTAACAGCTCTTTCTAAAACCGTATATTCATTCACTCAGATCATAAAGATGTGTTCAGCTCAGGGATTTAGAATTTTTAAAATGGAGATATGCCTTGTAGTTATTGGTATTGAAAAAGGAATATGGATCATCTTCGAGTACCAGGGTCATCCAGAAGGAGACCTGCAATGTTTTATACCCCCAGCTGTGGTAAGTAAATTGCAGGGAAGAGTGGTTTTCATTGCCTTATGAATGGCAATGAAAACTATGCTGTGTGGTTATTGTTGCACAGTCACCAGAAAATGCATGACTGAACATGGCCTCATGAATTGTAATGACATGGTGAGGCTCCAAAAATCACTATATATCATACTAAACCTTTGTTTATACACATGCTTTATTATTAATCACAAAACTTCATTGTGACTTTACTTAAAGTTGACTTTAAAATAGTTTCTGTGAAGTTACATGTACATCAGTCTGTAGGTATCTGACATTATTTAATTTTTTTATTTCACAGAATTTTGACACTCCACTTACCTAATACTTGTTTTTGTTGATAAGTTATTTATTGTGTGCTTTGATTGTTTTTTATGATAATAAACTGATGTGTGATTACTTGCAGAATACAGCAGACTTTGATCTTCATCTGGAGAAAGTATATAAGTGGACAGCCAGTAATGTGGCAGAAAAGTTAGCCTTCATCAGCTGCTTGTGGAAGGTACTGATTATGTACTTATAAAAATTTGAGTAATATATTAAAGCTAAAAAAAATTAATGTAGTACATGATAGTCAGATATAACATTCATAATTAGTTTTTTAATTAATTATTTTTGTATCAAAATTTTTCATAGATTTTTAAAATATAATGGGCAGATATTAAAAATGTAGAGGATATAGAACTGTTTGGTATTTCACTATTGTGTTTAACAACACTTGAGAAATTGTATGATTCATTAACATATTAAATTGATACCACTGCTTGGAGTGACTGTCACTCTTCATTTGTATTTCTAAAATCTATGAGCTTGGTAGTAGACAGATGTCATTTTAGCACCATCAAGAATTATGTTCTTAATACTTGCAAGTATTTGAGAATAATGTCTTGAGAATGCATTGAATAAATTATGATTTTTTTTTTTTTCAGTTGAGGAATATGATATTGTTTGTCAAAAACTTTAATGAGTGCTTTGGAATTTGAGTATGGGACTTGTCATGACTTTATTAAACGTTGATGATTAGAAACACTGAACACTTTATATGTCCATAGAACACTTAATCATTGAAAATTAAATGGTCAGTTTAATGATTTAAATGTGAAATGTTTTGTGTAAATTTGTAATTATTAATGTAATTATTATGTTTTTAAGTTTTTTAGTGTTTACACAAATAGTACTTGAAAAAATATTTATGTATTTAAGATCAAATTATTATGCCAGAATATGAGAAGAGTAGATTTTTTTCTTAAAAATGGTTCTTTAAAAAGATGTGTTTAGGAAAATTAACAGGGAACAGAGTTTGCATGGCTGCTTGAAATCCTAGAAAGTCTTGGAAAACTGCTTTA